ACCCCAGCCGCGTCGGAGGCCGCCCTCTTTCTTTTTCCCTCGCTCTTTCCCTCTCCGTCTCTCGTCTAACTGTCGCTAACACGCCGTGCCGGACGCGGATCGTTCAGTCGATTGTCCTCCTCCGTCGGCGTCTTCGCCGAACTATCGCGGCTCCCGATAATTAAACGTCCAATTTCCCGTTGGCCGGGTGTCGCGCGCGCCGCGATCAACCACCCATCGCAATCAGCCCAGCGGCGGGGGCTGTTCTCTCTCTCTCGCGACTGTTTGCCAGCGCAGCTCGATTCCACCGGCGGTCGTGAGACGGGGTCAGCTGTCGGCTGGGCCGCGTTTTTCCCCGCAGAAACGGCCCCGAAATCAGGCGAGCCACAATGGGCTTTTCGCGCGCTTACACGCGACAAAGGTGCGCGCGGCCCGTCGATTTTCGGTAACACGATCTTGAGTGGCTCTCTGTTAAACGATAGCCGTAAGTGGCACGTTAAGTGCTCGTTTCACGCCGGGGCGACGATACGCCTATTAATTTACTTCGCCGTTCCTGGCGCCGAGGGTCGTTCGTTCAGACGAGTCGGAAGATTGAAACGCAATCCCGGTGATTGCCGATCAATGCGTTATTACGACGTGTATCGGTGCGTCGTCGTTAGTCCTGTCTGATTCCGGTACCTTGAACAGAGGCTTGAAACGACGGCGAAACGTTGCTGAAGCCTTTCGACGTTCCTGTTCGTTTCAAGGATGTTTTAGGATCGTTGAACGAAGCCTCTGAACGATTCGGAATAATCTTGTCTGCGATTAATCTTGCGTTACGAGTGCGAACGGAATTAGATATTTCGTCGAAAGAAGCGCTCGGAATTGGAACGCATGGAACGACGGAGGTTTAGTTATGTCTGTGTATTACTGTGTACAAAGTGTGAATTGTCCAAATAGGATCTCGTATAATGTGCACGCTTGACCCTTTGACGTGCCATTTTCTTCGCAGTTGCTGCGATTAGGAACTTTTCGATTGCAATCGTTTCTTTGAAAGAAAAGAAAATCAATGCTTATCGCGTGCCTAAATGGCACTTCACGCGTTTCAAACTTTTGTTCAAAATTTTGATAAAATCTGTATCAGCAGTTCTAGACGAATAGAGTAAATATTCCCGACGTTATGTCATTTTATTATGTCATTGACGCGTAGAGAAATTCAGCGAGTGCGAAGAACTAAAAGAAAAAGAAACGAAATACTTCACGTGATAACTGCATATTATAAATTAGAATCAGAGGAGCTAAAGTGGCGCAGTTCTCGATGCAACAACTATCATCGTATGCATACGATGTTCCGTTGGAAAAAGCTCGCTCGCTTTTATCACGTGAAAACTTGGACGCTTAACCCTTTGCACTCGAAGCTATTTCAACCGTGAATCTAAAATAATTTCTCCGACTTGTAGTATTTTCATTTTGTATGACAAAGTGCATTTTGTGCATATGAAATTGTGTCTTTTGTTATATTAACTTTGTTAGTATAAAAATGATCTTAGAAAGCGGTATAACAAATTCTAGTGGTGCCTCAGAGTCACCACTCGAGCGCAAAGAGTTAAATATCGATGACAAGGGATACGATTAATTTGATTGCAATTTTAAAGAACAGAGCAACATCTACACTCGATAAATTATTCTTAGAAATTTAACCATGACGAGTAGGGCTGGTCGAAGCACGGGAAGGGGTTAAAGTTGGTCCTTCGGTTTCACCATTTTCCAAGCTTCCGCTCGACCGTGCCATTTTCTATCTCGAAGATCCTTTGCTCGAGAACGAGGCTAACGCGTTCGTCGCAACTCGACGCACTCGCTGAAAATTGCAACTGTTTCTAGCATCGAGTATCATTGTTGTTGCCCTGGAACGCGTAGCTACGCGGCTTCGACGGGAATTACGGAGGTGAACTGAACATCCCCGGGTTTCACGGGTAACATTCAAAGAACCGCTTCGAAACTTTCTGGCTGCGGTGTATATTTTAATTGGTTTCTCGAGGGCTTTATTCGCGGCCGGTCGCGAGCCGCGGCTGCAAAGGAGTTCTAAAAAGGAGTCGCGCGGGGGGCGTGTAGGCGGCTAAGACCGGCCGTTTGAAAAGTTCAGGTCACTTTCATTGTAAATTTCGCCGTCTAGATGCGCGGGGTTAACGACTCGCCGGATCCGACCGCAGAGCCGCAGCCCGACCCGCCCGACCCGAGCCGACCCGCGATCCTTGTTCCCCCCGTGAACAGGGTCCGTTTTTCTTCTTAGGCGGCCGCGAGCCAAGATGTAGGTCTTAACGAACGTGTAAGATTGAAAGAAGTGGTTGCTCGTTACTCGACGACAATACCGGCTACGGTTTGTGTAAAATTAATTATTAATTCTTCTTCGGCCAGCGGGGCCCGATGAAAGAAACAGTTAGGAGGCTCCGTTCGCGGAATAAATGGTACGGTTCTAATTGTCGCGGCACAATGGGGGCCACGTCTCGCGAGTGAAACGACGTGACGGAGGAAACAATGTCATCTTAATCGTCATCTATAAATAAGCGGGGCGAGGTTTAATGATAATGACGGCGTCACACGTAGCCGCGGCTCGCCTCGTCTCGCCTCGCCGCGCCTCGTCTCGCCGCGCCACGGCGATACGCCATTCGCTGGAAAGAAGCAATGAGAAAATTTGCGGCATAAACGATTCGCCGTCGACAGAGCCGGCCTTTTCTTCCGGGTAGAACGTTAATAAGAGTTTAACGCGTTGCCTTTTCTGCGGCACGGTGCTCCCCGACGTGTCGGAGCTCTGTATCAGCGAATCGGAAATTAATTCGTTGGACGACGTCGCTCTCTTTACGGTGCTATAGAATATAGCGAAAACAATGGTCCTGTTTCCATCGACCGGTGAAAAATTACAACCTGCAAATCACGGGGATCGCGATGCGCGCATTTCTCGATTCGGGGATGCAGAAGAAGAGACCGTCGAAGCGCTCTCACGGCGTCGTTTCTAGAGACAAGTTCCATGTTTCTATTTTCCGCGTTTCTGCGAAGAAATTCGTCGACGCTAATTTCGGAGATCTCAGAAAGAAAGAAATTCCGAAGGCACCGTTGGAGTGCCGGGCGCAAGCAGGAAGCGTTCAATGCTCGCCTGAAAGGAACTTGGATTGCCCTTGGATTGAAAGGAAAGGATTGAACGCTTCTCTCGGTTTCACACCCTGCGTGTCGGGCCCGATCCCAACTCTAGAAACAACGTCAGCCAAAAAACATTCGCCCCGGGTATTGCGTGCCAGCGAGTACTATTTCATGCTAGGACTACAATCGCGCTACGCGATATAACCATTCCATTCCCTCTGACCGTGTTCCAATGTCGATCTACCAAATCAGAGTCGCGTATACTTTTTCTATCTAATGATTTTCTTATGATTTTCACGGTGATTGGCATAATCATTGTTACTGGTAAATTGATCGGCGTCGTTCGATACGTCGTCTCTTAATTCGTTCGAACGTCTGCTAAAATTCTTGTTCTTGTTGATACGCGATGCATTTCTAAATTCGTTCGAACGGCTGCTGAAATTCTTGTTTCCGTTGCGCGAGATTATTGGGAACGAAAGTAGGCCAGTGTAGATTGTTTGTTCATTTATTACATTTAGGATTCTTCGTTCGGAAAATCGAGTCGAAATTATTTGTACGATTGATATTTTTCTATGTCCGTGTACACACGTCGGTGTTCATCCCTTAAAAAATCAACGTAATTAAACCAAATACATTAACACTTCGCGATTCGAACTGTTCCATCTCTTTCATTACAAGATCTGCTGCATCATCAATTCGATCGTTACACCGCCGATATTTATGCGATTATTGAATTTACAAATATCCATGATACTATAAATCAGATTAAAAACGAACAATAATCTCTGTTTTATCCATCTCGATAAAGAGCACGTTTGTTAACGAAACAAACAACTTTTCATTATTCTTGTTTCCATTAGGATTCGCACGAAGATCCATAATCTATCGATTATAATACCGATGTATGCAAATTTATTATTTATTTATTATTACATTACTGGCCTAATTGAAACAGTTAGAAATGCGACGACTGATATTATATACGTGGAAATTGCAGCATTAATAATAAATGTAACGTGGATCAATGAAATAAGGGACCATCGATCCATCGACTATATCCAATGAATTGAAAGCAATTGTAATTTGATAAAGATGCTTGTGAGTTTACTTAACGCCAGTATACCAGTACAGCAGTCTAACTCGAGATAACACCCCCGCTCTGATCTGTTTCAGAAGAAAGCAAGGAGTCACTGTGACCCGTGACCTGCCAGCATTAGGTGTCGAACGATCCAATTCAATTATCGTCACCGCGTTGTCCCATAAGTTCTCTTCTCAATATGCCTAACTCTTCTTAATATGCTTGCTTAATATCGCAAGACAGCTTTTCAGGCTTTCCAGTTAATCTTTAATTCCGTCCTAAATTCCCGTTCAAACTCATCCGAACTTATTCAAACGCGTTATTGGCTCGTTAAACTCGACATCGCTCTACCAATCAGAGCTGATCCTAAAACCGTAAGAACGTTCGCTGGAGAAAACCCGCGCAACAATCGTCGCGGCAGCCTAAACAGATTCAAAAATTAAATTTCAGCTAAACTGAGACTAAGAATCGCGTTATTTAGAAGAAGAAAGCGTCGAAAGAACGAGAGAAACGTCTCTAGACTTGCTACAAAGCTCTAAAAGATTCGACTTTCTTTCGTGGCAAGAACTGCCCCGAACCCCCCGTCGTTTCTCCTTTCGCTCGGATCGAGCCGCAGCAACTATTCTCTCGTGGCTTTCCTCTTCCCTAAATGAATTAGAAAAGACGACTCCCGATTACTGTGGTCGCAAAGTAAACCTCGCCGCGGCTCGCAACGCTCGCCGCGAGGCAGCCGTAACGACCGTTCCGCGTTCGCATAAATTCGCCGTACCCTTTGCTAAACGAACGTCTGGGACGCTACCAAAGAGAACTGATCGGGCTATCAACTCACCATGGGGTGGTGTGTGCTGATTCGGACTGTGCTGATGATGATTCACGGTGACGGCGGTGCCCGGAAGTACGTGCTGCGCGTGTGCCGCCGGATGCACGTTGACGCCGGCAGGCGAGGCCGGAAGTTGTCCCGGTTGATGTACCTGATGATGAGGTACATGGTGCGCGGGGTGGGGGTGGGGCGGCGGCAGGAAGGCAGCGGCGACGGCCGCCTGCGCATTCAGGTAGGCCATCCTGGAGGCCGTGAGGTTGCCCAGATTCCCAAGATTCCCCAGATTGCCCAGATGGTTCGTCAGGCTGGGCATGTAGTCCCATAGCTTGTGATGAGGCGCCGTTGGCGCGTACGAGACCGCCGAGACGCCGGCCGGCGGCGACGCCTGGGGTGAACCGCGATCGGTGCCGCTTCCGTTTCCGGCGCCGTTCAGGCCCAGCAGCTCCTGGATCGCGAACGGCGATCGCTGCGGCATCTTTGTACTATCGTCGTGGGATCCGGCACGCTTAAAACAACATCCTCCCGCGTTCACGATGTCCCGGTGGTGAATTTCGCTGTGTATCGACGGGATCCGATCCGCCGCTTCTCTCCGCCGCGAAAAGATTTCTCGGCGTCGCGGATCGTTTCGCGTTCGCGCGACTGCTCCTCCGCGGGCGACGCTTATTAGGAACTATATGGGGCGCGGCGGCGAGAACAATGAGGATTCTGCGTATTCGTTGATCGATTCGGGGGTGTGTTCGATGCACGGGGACGATGATCGGCGGCCGACGATCGATCGACGCGAGGAAACAGCGAAACAGCGTTTCGAGCGGCTAGGCCCTGGCATTACTGTCGACGCGCCATCCGACGGTTTGCTGCGAGCGATAGCGACGCTTCCGATGTCCTCCCGCGGCCAGCTTCCGTTTCTCCGGACTGGCGATGATTTCGACGTAGGCCCGTCGCAGAGCGTCCCTCGGCTCGATCGGCTTGCAAAAATATACGAGAGCTAGTTCGCGCTGCTGAGCGGAGCAAGACACGGCGCTCGTTTGGACACCCGCCGGCGGCCCTAGGTGTCCTCATAGATCTCCATCATCGGGGAACGAACACCTCGGATCGGCGTGATCGTTAAGCGGCGTAGATTAATATAGTGCTTACTGTGTCGTGCCCTCGATCGATCTTCGTTGTATAGAGCGAGAAGCTCGCGTTCCGCCGCGACGAGAATGGCAAGCGGAGCTCGGCTGCTGGCTGTCGCGGCGAGCGACGGCAACGCGAGCGACGACTCCGGGAACAAACCAGGCTCCCTGTTCCTCCGCCGATCGAGCAAACACCCCCTTTTCTCCGTTTCGCTTTCACACTGGAGAACACAATTCTACTGTCTATCAACTACGCGTCTCTAACATTCGCACTGTTTCTCCCCCGGTCCTGAAGACTGTCTTCTTCGTTGAACGGATGCTTTCGTTGTGATCAGGTACAGATATTCCCGCGTTCCACGGCCGCCACCGGGTACAGTTGCTCGGCGAACCCGTTCCGACGACAACTAGAACATTATCTCTGCCCGGGAATTCTATTCAGGGGAACGATAGCACGTGACGGGCTCATTCACCGAACAAAACTCTCCCCGGAGCTCAGCGATGCGCGCGGAGATTCGTGGAACCGCTTCCTTTCATTCTACTCGCGCGGGGATCGAATTTCAAGGGCAACAGAGTCTTCTCCTGGCACGGCGCTGCCACCTCCGGGAAGCCACTGGCGCAGCCTGGCCGATCTTCTTCTTCTCCTCCGCCTCCTCCTCCTCCTCCTCCTCCTCCGCCTCCGCTGCCGCCGGGGATTACGGATCCACGTCGGTATCAGCTAACTCGGCCCATTAGCCAGCTATAGGTCCGGCGATCGTCCTCTTTTCCGTTTCACTGTGACTCCCGCTCGACGGTCTTCATGGGTACTGAACACCGCGGGAACTTCGTTCGCGTAGCACACGTCACCGGATCCGTCGGACCCGCCGACCCCGCGGTTTCTCGACGCCGGGTATCCTATAATAGCGCGCGGCCGATGATCGGACCGCGTGGACACCGATTATTTCCCGATGATGATTCCTCGAACCTCCGGCGCTCGCTGCGCGCGACCTGGCCAAAAGCACCTTGGTCGGCGGTACCTTCGGAACGAGGATACGAGGATCTGCGACGGCGTACGACGGCGAACAACGGCGTGGCGTGTGTCCAACTTTGCTCGGGGCTCTGTCCCGGTACGGATGATGTCTGTCTGTCTGTCGTCGTGGCGCAACTGTGTCGTCGTCGCGGCGATGGGCAACTGAGCTGTCGAGCAGCACGGGGTTGCTCGACTGCGCGACGACCAACGAAGAAGGGAAACCCCCGGGGGCGGTTGGTGCGCCGCCACACGCACCCACACACGCACACACCCCGTCGCGGAGGGTGGCGTTTACCCGACCCACACACCACCTCCGAGCGCCGCTCGGCCCCCTCCCCCTGCGATCCCTTCCCCTTAGGCACGCCGCCGACTGCCTCCCTTTCTGCCCGATGCAGAACGCAAACCCCACCACCGCCGCACGGACTCTTCTTTTCTGCACTCGTCGACCCCTCGGCGACAAAGGCGCCTCCGCTACTTTGCGCGCCGACAGTGGCCGTCTCGCTTCGCGGATTGGTCGGTTTTTTGAGACGGCCAGCCGGGTAGACATAGCCCTAGTTACCAGCCGGAAGGTGGGGTCTAGCGATGTCGACGCCTCGAACGGCTACGCCTACGACAGACCGGTTCACCACGGGGAAAAGATACCGTGCCGCGCGTCGACGAGAATCCCGCGGAACGGGGACCTCCGATCGAGGATCGGAGGATAACGAATTGCGTGGTCGTCTTCGCAACAGTTCGATATCGGCATTGTGCAATTTTTTTAGCGTTTTTATGGGGGCTATCTCGTCAACGAGAGCGTCCCTTTCGGAAATGTTGCTACTTCGCGTATCGAAATAATAGGAAAATCGAAGCTTGTACTCTGTATCTCGCAAAAATTGGACAATTTTTAGCAGTATTGCTACGATATGCCGTACAAAATAATAAGAAAGATACAATAGAATCTATAACGTCGTGCGAGATAACGGGGGAAATCGAAGCTTGTACTCTATATCTCGCAAAACTTGGACAATTTTTAGCAATTTTGCTACGATATGCCGTCCAAAAAAATAATAAAAATACAATAGAATTTATAACGTCGTGTAATAGTAAAATAAACGAAGAAATGTAGTCCGTTCGCAGCGAACTGTTACTCAAAATCGGAACAACGCCGAAAACGAAATTCCTACAAGCGATATCAAAGGTTCGATAATCGTGAAATGCCAAATGGGATGCTAGAAAATGGGTAAAATTTTCGTAGAGATCTGTTCCGCGTCGGTAACAGTCGTTCAGCGGCAACAGCGGTGCTCGTAGAGGATCATTCTCGCAGGAATTGTGGCACAGTGAAACCGGCTTTCGCCCAGAGCCTTTATTACCGGAGTGGGAGTGGTCTCGGGGCCGGCCAATCAGAAAGCGCCACTTTCAACCCTCATTGGCCGGGACGTAAATCGATTTATCACTCAACCCGTCTGCGTCCGACAGGGGAAACACGCCCTTAAGGCCGTCCGGCTTAAGGTCGACTCTTCTCGGTTCCCTCTCGCGACGCTCAACACCGCCAATTCCGCTCGGGGAAAGGTGGTGGCGGCGTCGCCGGCGTCGATGGTGGTGGCGGGGCCCAGTGGCGGGGGTGACTCGGCCCGAACGAAAGCAGAAAGGGTGTGGAAACTCCTGATCTCCGGCGGCGAGTGTTCCGATAGTGTCGGAGGGAATTTTTTCGAAATGCTCCCGCGCCTGGATCCGCGTTTCGAAATTGAGCCATTTTCCGAAACGAGGCTTTTCTTTCGCTCCCATCCCCCTCCCCTAGCCGTCGCGGTGCCTATCCGCCTATTCATCCGCCTCGACGGTGAGCACATTCTTCCTCCTGGACATCCTATATCTTCTTCTCGTTTCCATGATCCCGCTTCTTCGTGTCTCTTGTCTACGGCAAGAAGAAAATTGTCTTCGATGGGAACCCGGGATTGGACAATGAGCGACGCCGAGGATGGGTCGCGAGCTGTTTCCTTCGTTCTTACGAGAAATCGGGCTCTCCGAACCGCTATTCGCTGGGAAACAGAAGAGGACGATTGCGATCCTCCGAGACAAAACTCCGTTCTGTCAGGCTGGCCGAATGGTTCGCGCGCGGTTCGCCGTTATTGCGCGTCTTTCGTCCGTTAACGAACCGCAAAAAATTGTTCAGCCGACCTAATAAATCCTTATAAATTCTAAGAAATTCCGTAGGTAATCGTTTCTCCATCAGATACGATTTCGAAGGAACGAATTCAATCTTTCGTGTTAGAAAATGTCTCTTGTTTCGAGTTCATTACGTGTCGTTTCTAGTTGAACGGACGTTAATTTTCGGGCTGGCGGGAGGAAAATCATCGGGATCGAACGGCTAAAAGGTGGAACGAATGCTAAAAAGGGCGCGGAATCAAGAACTCGACCGAACGCACCGCTCGGATACTTATTTGATGATTTTTTTCCCGCGGAAGAAGGAGAACCGTCGCGCGCATTTATCATTCGCATTTTCAGATGAAAAGCGCCACGATACGTGTACATTTGCGCCTGTCCAACATTTGCCAGCAATAACTCCAAAGAAGCATAATACCCGTAGCTGGGATAGTCTTTTTATCGGCTAAAAAAAAACTCGCGCAGCTTTCCACTACGAAGGGAAAAAGGTGGGAGACAGAAGGGGGATTTTGTGCGCGGAGCTTTGTTTCAGTAAAATATCTCGGAGCTCCTGCGTTCATCTTCTCGGCCAAGGAAAAGTATAAGAGCAGCCTCTTCATTTCCAACCCTTTCCCCGTTTGTTACTTGTATCAAGAAATTAATGAACGTTTCGAGCCACGCTTTATTGGACAAAGTTCCTTTCAATATAGACAATGATGAAATTTCTTGATACGCCGCCGCCGTTCGCTGGGCTTTTTAATCAAGCTTCCCCAGAGTTTAATTCTGTTTCGATGCAACTCCTTCGCTGGCAGAAATATCGTATTTTTTATGGCAAGGTTAGTTAGTAAGATACGATTTTAATGTTAAAGCATCTTTGGTTTTTCCTATTTAGTATTTAGATACTAGGTGTAATTAAACGTTTGTCGAACGAAGAGAAAAGAATTCTGCGGTCTCAAGAATTTGGTTTTGTCAATTTCGTTTACAAATTATCAGAAATAAGTCTTTGCACGAAAATAGAAAATACTAAGTGTAATTAAACGTTCGTCGAACGAAGAGAAAAGAATTTTGCGGTCTCAAGAATTTGGTTTTGTCAATTTCGTTTACAAATTATCAGAAATAAGTCTTTGCACGAAAATAGAAAATACTAAGTGTAATTAAACGTTCGTCGAACGAAGAGAAAAGAATTTTGCGGTCTCAAGAATTTGGTTTTGTCAATTTCGTTTACAAATTATCAGAAATAAGTCTTTGCACGAAAATAGAAAATACTAAGTGTAATTAAACGTTCGTCGAACGAAGAGAAAAGAATTTTGCGGTCTCAAGAATTTGGTTTTGTCAATTTCGTTTACAAATTATCAGAAATAAGTCTTTGCACGAAAATAGAAAATACTAAGTGTAATTAAACGTTCGTCGAACGAAGAGAAAAGAATTTTGCGGTCTCAAGAATTTGGTTTTGTCAATTTCGTTTACAAATTATCAGAAATAAGTCTTTGCACGAAAATAGAAAATACTAAGTGTAATTAAACGTTCGTCGAACGAAGAGAAAAGAATTTTGCGGTCTCAAGAATTTGGTTTTGTCAATTTCGTTTACAAATTATCAGAAATAAGTCTTTGCACGAAAATAGAAAATACTAAGTGTAATTAAACGTTCGTCGAACGAAGAGAAAAGAATTTTGCGGTCTCAAGAATTTGGTTTTGTCAATTTCGTTTACAAATTATCAGAAATAAGTCTTTGCACGAAAATAGAAAATACTAAGTGTAATTAAACGTTCGTCGAACGAAGAGAAAAGAATTTTGCGGTCTCAAGAATTTGGTTTTGTCAATTTCGTTTACAAATTATCAGAAATAAGTCTTTGCACGAAAATAGAAAATACTAAGTGTAATTAAACGTTCGTCGAACGAAGAGAAAAGAATTTTGCGGTCTCAAGAATTTGGTTTTGTCAATTTCGTTTACAAATTATCAGAAATAAGTCTTTGCACGAAAATAGAAAATACTAAGTGTAATTAAACGTTCGTCGAACGAAGAGAAAAGAATTTTGCGGTCTCAAGAATTTGGTTTTGTCAATTTCGTTTACAAATTATCAGAAATAAGTCTTTGCACGAAAATAGAAAATACTAAGTGTAATTAAACGTTCGTCGAACGAAGAGAAAAGAATTTTGCGGTCTCAAGAATTTGGTTTTGTCAATTTCGTTTACAAATTATCAGAAATAAGTCTTTGCACGAAAATAGAAAATACTAAGTGTAATTAAACGTTCGTCGAACGAAGAGAAAAGAATTTTGCGGTCTCAAGAATTTGGTTTTGTCAATTTCGTTTACAAATTATCAGAAATAAGTCTTTGCACGAAAATAGAAAATACTAAGTGTAATTAAACGTTCGTCGAACGAAGAGAAAAGAATTTTGCGGTCTCAAGAATTTGGTTTTGTCAATTTCGTTTACAAATTATCAGAAATAAGTCTTTGCACGAAAATAGAAAATACTAAGTGTAATTAAACGTTCGTCGAACGAAGAGAAAAGAATTTTGCGGTCTCAAGAATTTGGTTTTGTCAATTTCGTTTACAAATTATCAGAAATAAGTCTTTGCACGAAAATAGAAAATACTAAGTGTAATTAAACGTTCGTCGAACGAAGAGAAAAGAATTTTGCGGTCTCAAGAATTTGGTTTTGTCAATTTCGTTTACAAATTATCAGAAATAAGTCTTTGCACGAAAATAGAAAATACTAAGTGTAATTAAACGTTCGTCGAACGAAGAGAAAAGAATTTTGCGGTCTCAAGAATTTGGTTTTGTCAATTTCGTTTACAAATTATCAGAAATAAGTCTTTGCACGAAAATAGAAAATACTAAGTGTAATTAAACGTTCGTCGAACGAAGAGAAAAGAATTTTGCGGTCTCAAGAATTTGGTTTTGTCAATTTCGTTTACAAATTATCAGAAATAAGTCTTTGCACGAAAATAGAAAATACTAAGTGTAATTAAACGTTCGTCGAACGAAGAGAAAAGAATTTTGCGGTCTCAAGAATTTGGTTTCGTCAATATCGTTTACAAATTATCAGAAACAAGCCCTGACACGAAAATAGAAAATACTAAGTGTAATTAAACGTTTGTCAAACGAAGAGAGAAAAGAACTTTGCGGTCTCAAGAATTTGGCTTTAACAATTTCGTTTACATATATCAGCGCTATAATATCAGAAAC